TATATTAACATAGACTTAATTATTTGAGCTTTCATAATTGTTCTTTATTTCATTTCTTTTTGTTAGTCACAGGCATAATCACTCTTCTTCAGTCTTTGAGTCTTGACAACCCAAATAACTCTCAAGTCTACTCTTTGGAAGTCGAGGCCAGAGATAATGGAAATCATACCAGCATCTATATGTTTACAGTTTTTGTGGAGAATGTAGATGACCCTATTTTCTGTGATTCAAGTTTTTCAACAGGAGCAGGTATATTATGAGTCAATTTTATTGATTAAATTCATAAAACAATGGTATGGAAAGAAAATTCGAAGTTAAAACTTAGAATTAACAGTTCAAAGTTTTTTTTCTTTTTTCAGTTTTATAAAAAAAGAAGAGAATAAAGTAAGCAGTATAACATGCTCCTAAACGGAAACAAAAATAATTAACAGAGGCAAAGTTGTTGTTGGCCCAGCTACAGCTAGTTCTCACCACAGTGGTACAGCAGACCCACAGAAACACACACAAGAAACAGTTTTGAGGCCAACAGATGGCATGGTGGTTAAGGTACTGGACTCTCACATGGCAGACCATAAATCGAATCCTAAAACCAGCAGCTTAAAACTCATAATGGGTGCAAGCGAGTGCGTGCATGTGTGTGTGTGTGTGTGTGTGTGTGTGTGTGTGTGAGTACCCAAAATCCTGAGAGGAGAATGGAGGAGAAGGGACTGCAGCATGGCCATTCCCCCAGGAGATGATTTCTCACTTTCTTTCTCTGTCCCTTTCTCTCATGCACCCTGTAAAACAAAAATCCCTCCAGAAACAAAACTTTTTTGTTAAGTTTCTGATGACTGGATTAAGAAAATATGGCACATATACATGATAAATTACTTCCTAGCCACAGTATAATTCAAACTCAAATTATAATTACTTCTTTGTATGGTAAATGGGGGATAGTTGTAATGACAAAAATTTCTAATTTATCATTAATGTATGTGCTAACATGTTATCCTCAGAAGTTATCAAATATATGAAAATCTAAACAATAAATTATAATTTTTGCTTATGAGATGCCCAAGGTATAAAAATAACAGATTAAAACAGCAGCATGTGCTAAGATAGTAAGAAACATTTTCATGAAGTAGGACTTTTGAATAACCACTAGGAATATTATTTTCATAAACATTCATTTTAAAAAGTGATTATAGGGCTAGCCCCTGCCTCAGTGTTTAAGGCTGCTGGATCCAATATGGCTGACTCTGTAGTTCAACACATGGACGAGGAGGTTTGAAAAACATGCTGGATGCATGTACATATATGCCCCAACTCCTGGAAGGAGGGGAGATGGAGGAAAAGAACATAAAACTCGACTAGTCCCCATGGGGCTGATGCTTTCAATTTCTCTCTCTCTCTTCCTCTCTCTTCTCCCCATCTCCCAGTGATCGTACACACCATCTGGCAAATGAAATAAATGAATGAAAATTGAAAAAGGGACTCCATTCTATACCACTGTTTCATATTCTTAGAGCTCATCTCCACAGAAATTTTGACCAAATGGTCAAGAATTATGTGAGAAATGTTTAATAGTGTAATTTTTGAGATAATCAAAATATTTAACAATAGGATATTGGCTAAAAGATGGTGTATTGGGACCAGCAGTTAGTATAATGACTATGTCGCTGGGCTCCCATGTAGTCGACTGTGGTTTGAGTCCTGGATCCAGTGGCTTAAACTCACGCCAGGCGCGTGTGCGTGCGTGCCCAAGATCATGAAAGGAGAATGGAGGAGAAGGGATTGCGGCATGCCATCCCCCCTGGGGAATAATTTCTCGCTTTCTGTCTCTCTGTCTCTCTCTGTCTGTCTGGCAAGTGCCCTATAGCAAAAACCTCTAAAAAAAATTTAAAAAAAATTAAAAAAAGATGGTGTATTCGTTTGATGAATTGCTAGCTAGCCATTAAGAATTTCTTTAAAAAAAAAAAGCATGAGATGAAACATGATACAAACTGTAACCAGTTTTCTTAATTATGTGTGTATATAGTATGTGATATTAATGAACATTGTAAGCACACAGCATTTTATATATAATCACTATTGCTTTTTGTATGATTACTGTAAATTTCTCTTTCCCAACATTTTAAATAACCATGTTTCACTGTAAATGTTTAAAGTTTCTTAAATTAAAAACTCTAGCTTTAGTTATAAAATTTCAGCTTCTTGAATAAGAATCATCACTACCCATAATAGTATGTAGTTATTCCATCTGATATTCTTACTTTCCAAAAAAGTATTTGCTTATAATAAGTTTTCAATTACAAAAAGTATAATAGATTTAAAGTTACATAAAAAGATAGCCTTCAGTATAATTAAAATAGTTCTTTTCCTGAAAAGTTTGGTATTAAGTAGAAGTTCATAAATCTAATTTTAGTATTTTACTCCACTAAGAAAACAGTCACAATGAATTAATTAGAATCAGTATATCTTGGTGCATTAAACAATGAAATATACCCTTCACCTTTGTGCATATGAATCAGAACCTCATCTACTGCTCCTACCTTCACCCTACGTGTGTATGTGCTTCTCATAAGGACCATCTGAAAACACAGTTTTTTGAACATTTGAGTGTTCTTGAGACCTTGCACAGAACTGGATCTCAGAAAATATAGATTGGCTTGATTCAATGTATTTGATTTTTATTTAATGAATTAATTGGATTAACTGGAACTCAATAATTATATCTGTTCTGCTAGTTAGTTTTTCCATTATTTTCTCTCCACTTCATTTATGCATTTATTTATTTTATAATTTTTGATTTACATTTTATAGTGGTACATTTTTGTAGGGTACAGTAAGGTTTTTCAAAGCATACATAGAGCATGTCATTCAATTCAAGGATATTAGTATTTTTGTTACCTTCAACAAAGAACAATGCATTACATTGTGCATCTTTAAGATTTTTGCTAGTAATTTTGTTCTGTTTTTTATGACTAGATTAAGACAAAGTGGCATATATCCACAATGGAATATTATTCATTCACAAAAAGCAGTAAGATCCCATCATTTGACACAAAGTGGTGAACTCAGAAGAAGATACAATACTAAGCCAGGCTATGAAAGACAAATGCTGTATGTTCCTGCTTAACATGTACTGAATTTCCATATTCTATGGTGGAGACTCACTGGCATAAGAGAAGGCAGAACCAGCAGGTGGCATGGTGGTTAAGGTGTTGGAGCCCCTACAGGGCTGACCATGTTTTGAGACCCAGACCTGATAGCTTGCTTTTTCACTTTTCCCTTCTCTCACTCTTTCTCTCTCTGTCTCTTTGGTCAAATTAAAAATAATAACAAATAAGATTAAATGAAGAAATAAATCAATAAAAAGAGGTAGAGAAGACAATGGTAGATACTGGAGTGGAAGAGAACAAGGGAGAGGGTCTCAGAAAAAAAAAATTAAGGGACAAGAATGCATGCAAACAAGGTAAATAGGTTATGGGACGGTATACCAAAACAGAGTCAAAAAAAGCATTGTCAATTTTATGTGTCTCTCCATTTATCTCTTTTCTTTTCATTTAAATTTATGTATTTAATTTGACCAGAGAAAGAGAGGGAGAAAGAGAAAGTGAAAAAAGCAAGCTGCCAGGTCTGGGACTCAAACCGTGGTCAACCATTTGGGAATCCAGTGCCTTTAACCACCATGCCACCTGCTGGCACCTCCATTTATTTCTAACCTCACTTACTTATCTGTCATAGTAAAACCTCTCTACTTCTACCTTCTCTGTTTCACTGTTTTTTATCCTCTCCCTGTTTCTATGATGAGAAACTAACCACGAACTGGGAGAAATTAAGAAAAAATAGATGGCAAGAGGAACAATGCAAATTATTTTAAAACATTTTTTGTGTGTGGATGCCCGTTCATTGTTGCTGCTGATTCATTTTTCACCATCAGCATTATCTCTTCTTCATCTTTGGAAACAGCACCCATTAGGAAACTCAGAAGTTCTGAGATACACACACACATTCACACACACACACACACACACACACACTTTTTACTTTAACCCAAAGTATACTTCCGATATGCTTTATGCTATATTTATTTGAAATAGGAATTCATGTTAAAAGAACCTGTTAACAGAGACCACAGTTAAGAAAGTCTGCTGCGTGAGCCTTGGTTTTGTGTTTGTGAAGACATTTTTTCTTGGATGGCTTTGAATCTATAGAGTTTGTGTCCTTTGTAATTTTCTTTCAGTCTTCCCAAATTAGAGTTAACTTTAAAAAGATACCTGTGAATCTGGGACCAGCAGTTAGCGTAATGGCAATGTCACTGAACTCCCACATAGTCGACCACGGTTCGAGTCCCAGACCCAGTGGCTTAAACTCATGCCGGGCGCATGTGCGTGCATGAGCAAGTCAAAATTTAGTCAGTTTAAAATAAATGCAACTGAAAAGGCAAGACACACACACACCCACACCCACATCCACACACACAAACACACTTTTTACTTTAACCCAAAGTATACTTCCGATATGCTTTATGCTATATTTATTTGAAATAGGAATTCATGTTAAAAGAACCTGTTAACAGAGACCACAGTTAAGAAAGTCTGCTGCGTGAGCCTTGGTTTTGTGTTTGTGAAGACATTTTTTCTTGGATGGCTTTGAATCTATAGAGTTTGTGTCCTTTGTAATTTTCTTTCAGTCTTCCCAAATTAGAGTTAACTTTAAAAAGATACCTGTGAATCTGGGACCAGCAGTTAGCGTAATGGCAATGTCACTGAACTCCCACATAGTCGACCACGGTTCGAGTCCCAGACCCAGTGGCTTAAACTCATGCCGGGCGCATGTGCGTGCATGCCCAAGATTCCAAGAGGAGAATGGAGAAGGGATTGTGGCGTGGCCATCCCCCCTGGGGGCGGTGCGGTGATTTCCTGCTTTCTGTCTCTCTGTCTCTCTTTGGCTGGCTGGCAAGCACACACGCCTTATAGCAAAAACCTCTCAAAAAAAAAAAAAAAAGATACCTGTGAATCTGAAGGGGGTCATGCTGACCTGATTTCTACCACAGACTTGGTTGAACCAGGACACTACCAAGGTCATGATGCCTTCTTGTCCATCATGTGGGCTATGGTCCTTGAAACAGAGAAATAGTAGAGAAAACAAATAGTAGGGTAGCTCTGTGCATATCTCAAAGAAGCTATTTAAAAAGGATATTAGCAACAATTTTCAAATTGCTGATTTGACACACATGTTCACACACATATGCACCACATGTACACATGCACATGCACACACACATTCAATTAATTTATCATGTTTAAATATTTAATTGCTGTAAAGTCCCAGAGAAAATCACTAGAGAATATTCTTATACATGTTCCATTTGAAACAAAGGTTTAAAATAATCAAGTCCTATTTGCACAAAAATTGTTCTACAATATCCTTAGAAATATTTAAATAATATGATACTTTTGCCATCTAGATTATAACATAATATTCACCGTACTGGACATCTAGATTATAATACAATATTCAACATACTTGACATCCAAACTCATTCAAGTGCACAGTAAGCAGGAATTCTGATTTTTAATCACTTGCAAAATCACAAAACAGGTAGATACTGAATAGTCTAAAGGCATGTACATTTGACTTATTTGATTTTGGAGAGAGACAGTATCACAAGTGGTAACATTAAAAGGAAGTTAATGAGCAGGTGTTGAGAAAGGAAAGTAGCATTTATTGAACACTGTTAAGATGTGTGGTATTGGGACCAGCAGTTGGAATAATGACTATGTCGCTGGACTCCCATGTAGTTGACCATAGTTCAAGTCCCAGACCTGGTGGCTTAAACTCATACCAGGTGTGTGTGTGTGAGTGCCCAAAATCCCAAGAGGAGAATGGAGGAGAAGGGACTGCGGCATGGTCATCCCTGCTGGGGGGGGTGATTTCTTGCTTCCTGTCTCTCTGTATCACTCTCTGTCTTTCTGGCGAGCGCTTGTGCCCTATAGCAAAAACCTCTCAAAAAAAAAAAAAAGATGTGTGGTATTTTGTTTAATTCTCAGAGCTACTCTAAGGTTGGAAAGATTACCTTATTATACAAATTTTTAAAAATGTATGGAGCAGAAAGTCCAAAACATTGTTTCCTTATTTCACAGACTGCTCTTTTTTTTTTTCTGTACATTATTGTGAAAAGTGATGAACAGCTTCAATATTTGAACATAACAAAATCAAAGTTGAAATCATTTTTTTTATTGACCATTGATTTTGGGCCAGATGTTGAGCAATATTTCCCATTCTATGCACTAGCTCAAAATTGAAATGTAAAAACATGAAACTGAACTATGTTGACTCTTTTATCCATGGATGTTAATGGGAATAAATATTTGTAGGTTTTTTTTTTCTTAAACAAGTGTCATTAAGAAACTACTTCAAGAAGTTTAACATGATAACTTATGACACCAATATAAAGCAAGAGGTGACAGAAGAGTGCTTGAATCTAAATTGCTTATGATTTATTTAATTATTTAGGTGTCTCAGTATTTATTCCTGAAAATGTTCCTGCCTCTTCTTATGTATATATGATTCTTTCAAGAGATCCAGATCTAGGACAAGAAATTGAAGTAAGTTTCATATCACCTTTTTTTTTTCTAGTTTTGATGAATTAAAAATAAAAGTAGAATACTCATTTCAATGAGTAAAAAGTTAAAGTATCTTTATATCTTATGGTAGTCATTGAAGTAAGAGGATTGCAAACTATTGACTTTAATAACAGAAAAATAAAATGAAAATAAGACCTAAAGTTGTCTGAAAGCACTTCTTAAAATGAGCTTACAGGGGTCGGTCAGCAGGTGGCATAGTGGTTAATGCACTGGACTCCTACATGGCCAACTGTGGTTCCAGTCCTGGACCTGGTAACTTAAAACTCATGCTGGTATGTGTGCATGTCCAAAATCCCTGGAGGAGAACATAGGAGAAGGGGTTGTAGCATGGCCATCCCTCCTGGGAGGTGACTTTTTACTTTCTCTCTCTGTCTCTCTCTGTGTCTCTGTCAAGTGCACATGCCCTATACAAAAATCTCTCTGAAAAAAAAGAGCTTACATTTATTGGCATTTATCTGATGACATTTGTACATACTAGTAGTATGACTTTCTGTTGTTCATTGCCTTTTATTCATCCCAATCAGGGCATATTTTATTTATTATACACATAATTTGAAAAAGTGACATTTTAGATCTTCATATTATTTCTGGTTTCAGCAATAATTCATAAAGAATATAAAGTTAACAAATAATAGATGACAAAAATGGATATAACTTAAGAGGGGCAAAGAAGAAATTTGAGCTAATTCATCACTATATTTTCTCAGAAATTGCCATGATGTTCATATGACCTATAATCAAATTATATGTGCAAGGAAAAATTTGGTTTCTTGATTATACAATATAGTATAAATCATATTAATACACTGGAATACTATGCCTTAAATTTAATGACTCTGTCAAATTCTCCATAGAGCAGACTGAGGTTTTTTCCATTTGTTTGCATTTGCTCTAACAACTATCCTAAAAATATGGTTGAAGCTAAAGTTTAGGGGAACAGCTTGCTGAAGAATTTATCTTATAAGTAATTTTTCTGGTGACCTGATTATAATGATAAGCTTATTCACACATCTTGTGGTATGTTCATGCTCTTATAACTAAATGCTAAGACTGGGTAAGTAATCAACAATAGAAATTTATTTTCTCATAGTACAGGATGCTGGGAAGCCCAGGGTCAAACAGGCACAGATGTCTGGGAGGGGCTGCTCTCTGCTGCCAAAATAAATGGTACCTTGTGGTGTGTCTTCCAGGGGCAGAAAGGTCAGGAGGGTGCTTCTCTGAACCTTGAATCCTTTAAGAGTTCAAATCCCATTTGTAAAGGGTAGAACCCGCAGGATTTAGTTACTTCTCCAACCTCTTAATACCACTACAATAGAGATTAAGTTACAACATGAATTTTGGAAGGGACATAAACATTCAAATCATGACATCCGATTATATTTTTCATATATGGGAGTTTTAGACTGAAGACAGAAGACAACATAGGAAAAATGCAATTCTGGTCTTCTAGGCACAGAAGTTCCATTTGTGGGAATGTGTGAGTGTGTATTTGTGGCAGAGAATTGAGATACGGGGAGTGTGTTTGTTTGAAATATCTGGGTGTGTGCTCATTTTTAGATTATGACATGCACATGTATTAATGATGGACTTCCATATACATATTTATAATGTGTTAACATTTATATTCTTCATAACAAAAATGTTACAATATGTGGATTTTATTGTAAATGTCACTGAAAAAAGATAATAAATAATTTTTAACAAATTCAAAATGATAATAATGAGACAAAGAAAAGGAGATTTTTCTTTTCATAAAAACGTTTTAGTGAATTTTAATCTAGCATAAGCCAACTTTGGTTGTTAGTTTACAGGCAAATACAAGTTGGTCAATATGCCCATCAACACAGCTGTGATGTCTTTTTGGAAATTACATAAGATATCACATCTCTCAGGTCTTATTGTTTTTGTTTGAGTCAGAAACTGGAATGTAAATTTTTTACATTTAATTTCTTTACTAAATCCTTTTCAAAATCTTTAATATACATCTTGAAACTGGGCCCAGTTATAGGCGTGAGCGCTAACAATGGAGAAGGATATGCTGATGCTCAGTAAAAAAAGAGTCTTTGTCCAAAGCATTATTTTATTTTTGCCATACAGAAAATCAATAAAGAGATGAGATCAAATGGCCTCTTCCAAATAATTCAATGCATGTGCCTCCTTTAGATACTTCCTGAATATACAAAAGGGAATGATTTTATTTGCATTGGGAAAAAAATTTTTTTTCTAAATGCAACACTAGAAAGTAAACCAATTGTAAACCAATGACAGCTTTTTACCAAAAATGTTCTTATATTTAAGTATAAAAACCATTGGAAAAAGTACAGCCAAATATGGGAAAGAATGTTTTTGAAGTCTGGATCTGAAAGTGAGGTCAGATTTTATTTTATGGGCACTGTCTTTGCAAAATTAAGTTTGGTTTAGTCTTGCCAATAATTGCATTGAAACTGTCAGTTCAAAATTCATGCTTTTTAAATAATGTATTAACCATGTTTTTATATGTATTTTTTTTCTTTTTAAAGTTTTTAATATTAAACTCTTCAATTAATGCCACTGACTACTTTGCTTTGGATTCACATAGCGGTGTTATTTCTAAAACCATTGAACCTCTTTTGGACTATGAAATAAATCCTAAGGTGAGACTAAAATGTAAACCTGGGGACAGTGGGAGGTATGGTGATTAAAGCAGTGGATTCCACATGGCCAATTCCACAGTTTAAGTCTCAGACCCAGTGCTTTGAAAAACATGCCAGACAGGTGAGCATGACCAAAATCCTAAGAGGAGAATGGATGAGAAGGGATGGTGGCATGGCCATCTCGCCTAGGGGATGATTTCTTTCTTTCCCTCTCTCTGTCTCTGTCTGGTGGGCACATGCACCTTATAGTAAAAATCTAAAAAATAAAAATAAATAAATAAATAAATAAATAAATACAAACCTGACCATTAAAATAATGGACACTATTAAATTCACTCCAATAAAGGTAATTTTTAAAATGTATCTATATTAAATCAAATATTACCAAATTTACATTACTAGATTTTCATAGTCACTTAGATCTTGTAAAAATTAATTTTAAAAATTTTATTTTTGTATTATTATTACTTTTTCTTTTACTAATAATAGAGTATGTGCACAGGCACATGAGAGAGAGAGAAAGAGAGAAAACACCCCTGCGATCCTTCGTCTACCAATTCTCCATCCTCTCAGAATTCTGGACACCTGCCAGCAGGGCTGGAATTTGAACTACTGTGGATCATGTGGGCTCCTGCTTCTTCTGCACAGCACTTAACACCTGTTAAGTGCTTTGGGGCCATCATCCAAAATCAACTGAAAGAAAATAAATTTATATTCTTCTTTGATTTATGTTTCTTTTTAATTACACTTTATTGAAATAGTATTTCAATTTTTGTATATGTTCCTACATATAATACATAAAATGGAGAAGACACTGTATCCATTCTGTTTACTTAGA